ATATATATATATATATATATATATATATATATATATATATATAAAATTAATAAAACATTCTAACCTTATTTTTTCTCTCAACAACCACCTCTGTATTTGTTCGTTCCTGCTATCTTCAGGGTGCATAAAACTGCATCAGGAAAGGTTTGAACTTTAAATGACACAACGAAGGTTGATAACATTTTGTTAGTGAAAATTTATGTTACACACGTATACCCTAAAGAATTTTATTTTTTTTTAAAGGGAAAAAAGATAAATATGCCTTTGAATTATTGTAAATGATATGCAAATATTCTCTGTCATATTTCAGGGATATTGGTATTCCTGTCATTCAAAAACTAAAGCATACATATCCTTTATACTAATGGACATACACGTGTCATAATCTTATCCACCGAACCATCATCGGATCGAGGATAATATTGCGCCACGTGTCCCTATTTAGTCTTTCGTTAAAGCTAAGAGCATATACACTCTAATTTTTAGACGACAGGGGTACCAATATACCAAAAGTACGACGGAGATAGTTCGAAAATATATTTGTCCTTTTTCCATTTTTTAAAAAATGAAAGAAAAGAATAGTATTAATTACTCTCTTAATTCATATAAGTTTAGAGTTCCACTTAGATCAGCATCAGCATTTCTGAATTGTGCCATCCACCATCCTGCATCTCCATGGCTTGTCTCATTTTTCTCTGTAAATTAAAGATGACCCAAATTTGGGTTCATTAGCGGAAATTCATAAAAAGGAAAACAACAATCCGATGCACTAAACACTTTTATTATGTGTGTGATTTGAGTAACTAATGGGATATAATCACAAGAGTCTACTATATGTAATCTTTCATATGTTTCTGCGAAAGACTGTTTTCACATCACAAAGACAACTTAACCAATTAGGTACGCTAAGACTCGCATTCTCCTAACTAATTCATAGTTTAGTGAAGATATATCTTTGTGATCTTTTAGTCCAATATGAGTAGTATACTCATAATTAATTTATAAAAAAGAAAAAAAGATATCCTGATGCACTAAATTTTTCACTATTCACGGACTCTGAAGAAGAATCGAAATGAAATGAATTACCTAAGTCTTCATTGGTAAATTGAGGTAGATATTCAAAGAAAGAAATAGCTCCATCTCCATCCTTATCTCTAAACTCCATTTCACTGGAAGTCCTATAATGCAATCGATCGATAGCTTGTTGTGTATTCCAAATTTCAAGCTCTTTATACTCAATAAATCCATCATTAGGTGCAACGTCCAAAATAGGAAACAAAACCATCAATCTCAAACTAGTTTTCAATCTCCCATCATTATCAAAATATCTTTCATCCTCCTTCTTACGCCATCCATCATTTGATTTTCCGCTTCTCTTTTGCTCCAATTCAGCAACAAGAGGATCAAAAATCGGGTCACGAGTTTTGAGCCCTAATCGCCTGCTCAAGCCATTAGGTGTGTAATATCCGTCTTTGTGATTAAATTTGATAGTTAATTGGATGAAGAGTACAACGAGAAAGACGAAGGCGGTGATTATGGTGGAAACCACCACCTTCGACATTTTTTTCCTTCTCGTTCTACTAACAACTTTTTTTTCATCTAAAAAATGGTTGGGGGCAGTTATAAGATAAAGGGCCAACATGTAAGTAAGGAGTGCATGCATCTTTGTGGTTAGTACAATTTTAGTGGTTAAATACATTTTTTCGAATTCATAAGGTTAAGGATCACATATATTTATTTGCCTTAACAAGGGTTTTTTTTTTCTTTTTCAAATAATAATAATTAATTCCAATTCTAACCTACGTTAGTTTGACTTGAAACTGAGTTTATAAAAGAAAAAAAAACTTTTGACATTAAGACTGATAATTTCGCTTAATTGATACCAAATCAGTATATATACATTGTATTGGTATCATTTAAAGTTTCTTGTTTTGAAATTACTTATTAGTCAATGATATTATAAGGGTGTGTGTTATGAAGGGAAATGTTTTCCATGAAAAATGTTTTTCTGAAAAACAAGTAGATTTTGATCTTATTTTTTCTCATGTTTGATTAGTGAGTAGAAAATATTTTCCAGAAATAATTTTTAATGTTTGATCATAATTGGTAGGTTTCCTATTTGATCTCTTTATTGCACTCCCCCTCCTTCAACTTGTTAGGAAGATGTCTAAACATCATATAACCTCTTTTCTTAGTGGTTGCCAATGTGGTCTCGACCGAATGCCAATTCCGACCCTAACCTTCCTCCTTTCAGCTGAAGTAAGATGTCCCGGAATGCTCACATTCCCTCCACCAAGATCTCTATAGCAACTCGGGATTTTGATTTTGGGTTGTCTTTGGATTTGGATATGAACTTGTAATTATTTTAGATTTTATAGCCTACTATCAAAATGGGTTTAACTTATGGGGTCGGTCCAACATAACCTGTTATTGGATCGGGAAGAACTTCAAACCCATTTAAACTTAGGACTTATAAGTCCGCCCAAATAAGTCCTCGATCCTTGAGGCTTGACGGAGGCCAGATCGAGATGAACCATGGATCAAAATTTATTCAAGGGCAACTTATAGAAATTTCTCTAAATTAGGAGCTAATTACTTAGATACACACTAATTTACAATATTGCAAATTGTATTGAATTTCGGTGCATTCAAATATGTTTAGATATATGTATCTCGGGATACATGAGCTCAAAAATAGATGTAATTCATTATAGATGTTGGGTTTTATTTGCCCTAAATTTCTTACCATAAATAGGTTTTCCTTGTAAGGAAAGGTTTTCGATTGACTAATCTTTTTCTTGTAGGAAAAGGTTTAGGACTCTATAAATAGAGGAATGTTCCTTCCAACTTAATCAGCATTCACAATGTAGTCTTAAGGGCTTTGAGAGTTTTGGTTAGAGGGAGAATTTGTGGGTCACAAGCTTGATACGTTATCACTTGTGTGAACCTCCCATGTATTCTGAGTGAATTGGTTGAGGTTGTTTCCCTCTGTATTTTGTACTCTCATATTTATAGTGGATTGCTCATCTCCTTTGTGGACGTAGGTCGATTGACCGAATCACGTTAAATCTTTGTGTCTTTTGGTATATTTCTCATTGTCTTCTTACTCGTGGTCTTTCGAGGGCTGCTTTGCTAGCTTTCGCATTTACACCTGCTTATTTTCGGTCCTAACAAGTGGTATCAGAGCCAGATTCAATGACGGAGTCAGGTTCAGTGGTTTGATAATCGATGATTGAACCAGGTTAGAAAGATGTGTTCATCTTGGCGGTGTAGTTCTAGCAGTAACCTTTTTGACAGTAATGAAGATTTTGTTGGAGAAATTGTTTCAGAGAGATTCTTGCTCATTTCCTTTGTGGACGTAGGTCGATTGACCGAACCACGTTAAATCTTTGTGTCTTTTGGTATATTTCTCGTTGTCTTCTTACTCGTGGTCTTTTGAGGTTTGCTTTGCTAGCTTCCGCATTTACACCTGCTTATTTTCGGTCCTAACAAGTGGTATCAGAGCCAGATTCGATGACGGAGTCAGGTTCAGTGGTTTGATAATCGATGATTAAAACCAGATTAGAAAGATGTGTTCATCTTGGCGGTGTAGTTCTAGTTGTAAACTTTTTGACGGTAATGAAGATTTTGTTGGAGAAATTGTTTCAGAGAGATTCTTTGTGTTGAGACATAAATTTTGCAAAGGAGATTATGGAGAAGAGAAGCAAGTTGTTGAAGACTAAGTCAAGAAGGTGGACAAATTTATTTTGTCAGAAATTCAAGCCAAGGGGGAGATTTGTTGGGTTTTATTTGCCCTAAATTTCTTACCATAAATAGGTTTTCCTTGTAGGGAAAGGTTTTGGATTGACTAATCCTTTTCTTGTAGGAAAAGGCTTAGGACTCTATAAATAGAGGAATGTTCCTTCCAACTTAATCAGCATTCACAATGTAGTCTTAAGGGCTTTGAGAGTTTTGGTTAGAGGGAGAATTTGTGGGTCACAAGTTTGATACGTTATCACTTGTGTGAACCTCCCATGTATTCTGAGTGAATTGGTTGAGGTTGTTTCCCTCTGTATTTTGTACTCTCATATTTATAGTGGATTGCTCATCTCCTTTGTGGACGTAGATCGATTGACCGAATCACGTTAAATCTTTGTGTCTTTTGGTATATTTCTCGTTGTCTTCTTACTCGTGGTCTTTTGAGGTTTGCTTTGCTAGCTTCCGCATTTACACCTGCTTATTTTCGGTCCTAACAATAGATGCACTGTATACAAGAGAATTCACATGTACCTAGGATAGATAGACAATTCTCCCTCACCCCCTCACCTCCTTCCCATCTCGCTTGCCCCTCGCTTCCCTCCCATCTTGTTCGCTACTCTTCTATCTTGCTCGCATATATGATATTCTAGATATGCATGTGAACCACACTAGATAAATGTATTTAATGTGTATCCAATGGCTTAACATGTATATGAGATAAATAGACAAATATCGTTCGCCTCCCACCTGTTCTCTCTCGCATCTCTCCCTTTTTCAATGTACATCTGATAGGAAAAACACATGTATCTAGGCGTATATGACTTGAAATCTAATTTAAAATTATTAATTAGTGAGATAAAATGTAATTATTTTAAACTAAAGTGAGAGTTAGTAAATATGATCGGAGTGTTTGTGCAATCAGACAATTTCTCCTTTATTTGATTTGGATTAAAATAACTAAAGTTATAAGGCTTAATTGTTCTTTAATTTACAAATTTATTTTTTCAAAATTATTTATTTATCTATTCGTCAAAAAATGTTATTATCTTTTCTTTTATAGTCTTACTAGAATTATTGAAACGACATCATTGTATATATGCCACATTTAATTTGAAATCGTTTCATTTTCTTGATGTTATTTATTTAGATATGAGATTGTAATGGAAAGCACCACTAATCATATGTATAATATATAATTGTAATTATTATGTATTTTTATATAATTTTGTTAAATGTGTTAAATTAATATATTGACAAAATTTTATGGTTAAAAAAATAAAAAAAGCTAGCCTGTTCCAACCCATCATGACCCTTCTAGGCTTGGGTTGGATTGACCAATTTTCGGGCCCTTTCAAATGAAGGGTCAGTCCACACTAGCCCATTAAATTTCTTAGCCCGCTTGGCTTAGGTCGGGTGGGATTGGACTGATCATTTTGACAACTCTAATAATACTCGTGAGTATCTTCTTTGATGGTCAAAATGTCTCAGTTATGTACTTAAATATTTGATTTATGTCTTTTTTTTATCTTTTGTAATTTCGCACAAAAAAATACGAATATTCCCCCTTCATTTTTTCTATTAATGTAAATTTTCTCCCTCTTTTAGTTTCAACATCTAGGTTTTCTTATTTCACAGTGGCTCAGCGGCGCATCCTCTCCCCTCATTTTTTTCTATTTAAGTAAATTTTCTTTCTCTTTTAGTTTCAAAATTTAGGTTTTGTCATTTTACAGTAGCTAAGCGGCGCATCTCCTCTCGACTTAAGGATTGAAATCGTAAGCTCTTTGCCTTCTCTTCCTCTCTAATCTCATCTAGATTGCCAATTTTAGTTTATAAGGTCTTAAGGTCTCTTTTGTTATTTCACAGTGGCTCAGCGGCACATCCACTTCCCCCTCATTTTTTCTATTTAAGTAAATTTCCTTTCTCTTTTAGTTTCAACATTTAGGTTTCGTCATTTTACAGTGGCTCAACGGCGCATCCTCTCGACCAAAGGATTGAAATGGTAAGTTCTTTGCCTTCTCTTCCTCTCTAATCTTATCTAGATTACCAATTTTAGTTTATAAGGTCTCTTTTGTTATTTCACAGTGGCTTAGCGGCACATCCTCTCCCCCCTCATTTTTTCTATTTAAGTAAATTTCCTTTTTCTTTTAGTTTCAATATTTAGGTTTTGTCATTTTACAGTGGCTCAATGGCACATCTCCTCTCGACCAAATGATTGAAATCGTTAGCTCTTTGCTTTCTTTTCCTCTCTAATCTCATCTAGATTGCCAATTTTAGTTTATAAGGTCTCCTCTCGACCAAATGATTGAAATCGTAAGTTCTTTGCCTTCTCTTCCTCTCTAATATCATCTAGATAGCCAATTTTAGTTTATAAGGTCTGTTTTGACTGTTTAATTATGGTTTCAAATTAGGTTCCGATGAGAATCAATACTTCTTTTCAAAAAAGCATGTCTTGACTTTATTTTGCTTCATTCCGCTTTTAGTTTTATCATCTAGATTTTCTCATTCCACAATGACTCAACAATACATCCTCTCTCGACAAAAGGCTTGAAACTGTAAGTTGTTTGCTTACTCACGACTCAAGAGACTTAAAATTGTAAGTCTTTTACCTTCACTTTCCCTCTACTCTCATTTCATTTAGTTTGTCATTCATTTTTAGTATATAATAACTCTTCCAGTTGTTCGATTATGATTTCGAATTAAATCTTGATGAGAGTAATAACTCTTCCAGTTGCTCAATCACATGACATAGGGCCTTAACATCAGTACAACAATAAAAACAAACATCAACTCAACTCTTTAGTTCAAATGCAACATTTAAATTCTACTACATATATGGACAAGTAGAATTAATTGTTATGTGC